ATGGGGAGGGATGGCTGGGGGTACAGGGTGCTGGGGGTGGTGGGACAGGGGCATTTCACCCTTCTCTTGGCCAATGAGAGCTGAGCTGTAAGAGCTAGCACCTTCAGACCATGGCTCCTGACCCTGACCCTCCGGGGCCCCACCTCTCCCTTATTCTTAGAGGGAGGAGGGACTTCTGCCTCTCCTGAAGTTTCTGGAGTCCTGGCAGGACTCCACCACTACCATCTAACCAGACTCTGGTGGCCCCCACCTCTTTTCACATATTCTGTCATTGCAACTTGGAGGATGCTGGGCTCTGGAATGCACCAGCCCACACCCCAAGGCTGGCTCAGCCTCCTTCACTCTGCCCTGGAGACAGTCCAGCTCTGGTCCTGGCCCCTGGAGCAGAAGGGGTTTCATCATAATGATTGGCGAGATTGTGATGATGGTGTGAAGTGCCACAGAAGAAACCAGGACAGCCTCTCAACTCCATGCTTTTGTGTTAGGGCCGTGGGCCACCAGCTGCACGACGCTCTGGTTGGTGTGTCTGCTGAGATGGGGCCACAGTCGAGAGCCAACGGACACATCAACCTGAACATTCTTGTCCCCATGGCATGCTGGGGAGTCTGATGGGTGCTAAGACTCCTTGACTCTAGCTGCTTCCCTGCAGAACCACAGAATGGTCACTGGGTCTACAACTGAGTTGTCCTGCCCAGAGGTGGAGGGGAGGGGGGAGCCAGTTCTTGTGTCCAGGGGAGGCTGTTTCCCACCTCTCCCCACCTCTCCCCACCTTGGAAACTCTGTCCTTGGCAAAGCGAAAGGAATAAAGTCTCCTCTGAACCATGAGCCGAGAGGGTTAGCACTGGTGTGTTGTGATTGACTTTGAGGGCCCCTTGGCTGTGGCCCAAACAACATTTTGCCCAACCCAGCCCAGCCCAGCCTCTCTGGCTTCTCAGGACCCCAGGGAAGAGGCAAGCCCCATCATCATAAAATAACAGGGTGTTCAAGCCAGCTGGAAGGGGCTGGAGAAACGTCTTGCCCACCTGTCATTTTAACGATGAAGATACACAGTTTGCCTGTGAGAATCTTTAATCCCCTACTCACCACAAGTGTTTTCATATAAAAATGAGGTGCCTGAACTCATATCTTGATAAATGGTAAAATTTCTCTCCCATCCCCATTCTGATGTTGAGCTCCCTTCCCATCTCCATTGAAAATGGAATATGAACTGCTTGTTCCAAACCCGGAGGAGCAAAGGTAATTTACGTCAGCAGAGCTGTGTCAAAATTGCTCTGATCAAAAGGTGACAGTGCTCCACACCTGGGCGGACAGTTACAAGGCATGGAGGCAAGTGCCCTGGGTTGGCTAGCCTGGACTCCAGGCAAGTCCCAGAGGGGTGAACTGAACCCCTTCTCCCAGGCAGTCTGATGCCCCTATCCACAATTTTTGGGTTTAGGACCCAAAAGGGGCTTGGGCAGACCTAGAACTGGGGAGTCAGTGTTAATGCCAATCTCCAGGCACAGTCAGACCCAGCCCAGTCAGACCGTATCATGTCACATGGAGGGAAGTGAGCGGGACTGGGGTGGTAGGAGGGGATGCTGTTCTGAAAAATCTTTACCGTCCCCTCTAGGTTGATCTCAGTTTACCGCCAGAGGGCACAGTGCAGAAATGATAAGCCTAGACTCCTGGGGCCAGGCAGTGAAGTCCCTCCCCCGCCCCCGCTACTCTGGCTTCATTCAGGGGCACCCCCACAAACACTTGCACCCTTTAACCGACAGTGTCCTGGGAACAGCATGTTGTCCAACTGTCTGGGGACTGACCAGAGAGTAAAGCTGCCCCAGTGGGGAGCTGAATCTCTTGCCAGCCTGGGCCCTTGTCTGGTACTACCAGGAGTGGGATGGTTACCCCCTGCCCTGGGAGGGGATGGGGCTGCATCCAACTGCCCAGCTGTCCAGGTGCTGACATGAAGTGCACCCCAGAGCTGCTCAGGTTTCCCCCTCGGGTCTGCCTCAGCGGCTGAGCCAGCATCCCAAACATCCTCAGGCTAAATAAGGAGCCCGCTTAGGTCATAGGGCGGGGCTGGGGTCCCCGGGGGGGCTTGGGGCAACCAAGCCAAACAAGGCAAGGAGGGGAGCGATGTATAAAACCAGGGCCCTGGGCTGAGCACCTGCCCGTGCCCCTACTGTGCCTTCCTGAAGTGCTCTGTCCCACCTGCCACCCAGCTAGTGGACCCAAGTCCCGAAGTCGACCCGCCCACGGTGAGTCCCTATTCTCAGACCAGCCCCAGACACTCCCATCCCCAGGATGTTCTGAATTGACAGGGGAAAAGCTGAAAGTCAAAGTCTCTGTGTCAGCCTAGACTCCATGTTTGTTTTGCACTCCCCAGATGTCCAAGGCAGCTCCTGCCAAAAAACCAGCCGCTACGGCCCCGCCTCCGGGATGTACTCTGGATATCAACGACCCCCAGGTCCAGAGAGCGGCCATTCGCATCCAGGCCTCTTACCGGGGCCACAGGTGAGGGGGAGCCCGGAGCCCTCAGGAGAAGGGGAGCGGGAACTGCAGAAAGCGCACTGCTGCGTGGGGGTGGGTGGGAGCTGAGCAGTGTTACGGACCGCTGGGGTCACTGGACTTAGGGGAGAGCGGTTGGCGAGGTGTGGAAAGGCGGCCGACAAAAGCACATCATTTCATCAGGGTAACAATTCAAGAGCAGGCCCCCTCCCAACCCACCCCCACATTTAAAGTTCTAGCGGGCCGAGGGGGCGGGCAGGGGATTTGGTGCGGGCGGTCCAGATCCGCGTGGTGGGAGCTCTGGGCCCTGACCCGGCTCTCGGATAGGTCCCGGAAGGAGCTTCGCGAGAAGGGGCCGCCACGAGTGCTGGAGCCGCTGAAGGACGTGGTGCTGATCGAGGGCAGCGCGGCCAAGCTGACTTGCCGCATTGCCGCTTTTCCGGACCCATTCATCCGCTGGAGCAAAGATGGCAAGGAGCTGCGCGACGGGCCCAAGTATCGCTACGTCTTCGAGGACCCTGACGTAGTCGCCCTGGTGGTGCGCGACGGCGAGCTGGCCGACCTGGGCCAGTACAGCATCAATGTAACCAACCCCTTCGGCCAGTGCTCTGACTCGGCGCGCATCCTCGTGGAAGGTACGCGCGCCCCCGGGGGCGGCGCCACCACGGAGAGCAGCACCGCCTCCCGGCGCCACAGCTGGTTCCAGCCAGCGTGCGCTCACCGCTGGGCCTAGCCGAGTCCCCATGGGGTTACGGGCACGGGCTGGGGCGCGGCGACGCGCGGGCTGGCTAGCCCTTCCTGCCTCAGGATCCCATCCGGTCCCCCTCCCCGCCAAGACGGAGAAGTCCGCTATGGGCTCCAATCACTCCACTCCAGGGCCCCAAGGTCACAGCGAGCCAGAGGCAGAGCCAGGGTTAGGGCCTGGGCCTCCTGGCTCCGCCCCAGGGCGATGTTCATTCCTCGGACTGTCTCCGTCCAGGGCACCGAGATGTGTAAACGTTCCCGGGCTTTCACTCATAGTATCTCTTTTTTTGATCCTCCATCTCACGGTGGGAAGGAGCAGGGGCAGCTACTAGTCCGGTTTAACAGCTGAGGAAATGAAGCCCCAGAGAGGCTAGACTTGCCCAACGTCACACTACGAGCTTAAATCCATCTCATATTGAGGGCGGGGTATTATCTGGGGAAGTGATGCCCCTGCCCCGCCTCACCCCTAAAGACCCTCACTGGGTCGCACGCCCTTTCTCTTCTAGTCCCTGCGAAGATTCAAAAGGGACCGGGTAACACTAAGGCACGCAAAGGCACCACGGTGACGCTGACCGCGGAGATCATGGGCGAGCCTGCGCCCGACGTCGGCTGGACCAAGGACGGGGAGGACATCGAGGAGGATGACAGGCGAGGGCGGGGATCTGCCGCTGGGGCGGAACGGGGCCCAGAACCCTGGCGAGAGTGGGCCGGGGGCGGGGAACGCGAGCTGAGGACCAGAGCTGGCTAACCAGCCTGGCCCCGGGCGCCCGTAACCTGACCTCGGCCCGCCCTCCCCGCTCCCCCTCTCCCTGCCAGGGTGTTCTTCGAGATCGGCAGTACCACCACGACGCTGACCATTCGCCGGGCCACGCCCGAGGACAGCGGCAAGTACGAGGTGTACGTGGAGAACAGCCTGGGCATGGACCAGAGCTTTGCTCGCGTGGACGTGGCCTGAAAGGAACGCTCGGACCGTTCGCCCTGGCTCCAAGCCCCGGGGTGGGTGGGACCGACGACCCTCCTCCATCTTGCTTAATAAAGCTGCTCTCTCTGACCCTCCGCGTGTTCTGGTCTTTGGGGACGCCGTTTCCTCTCCCTCGCACTCGCACCCACGCTTACTCCAGACCCACACACCAAGGTCACAGAATGTTGGGGTCGGAATGTTTGGAGAGTGCCTGGCTCAGTGCTTTATGTTACGGACTGTAAATCTGAGATCAGCTTTCCCTCACCGTCCGGAGCTCCTTCGCTTCCCAGTGGGACGGCGCGAGGAGCTTATGACTCCTCCTCCTCTTTTTCTGCCTACCTCAGGCCCCAGCCACTCGCCGGGGTTGGCGTCCTCGCCACGCCCATCTCACCGATGGCCACACCCCCTCTCGTCTCTAGGCCCGCCTCTCCCTGTGACCCTGTTCCCACTTCAGCCGCTACTCCTGGGCCCATTCCCAGACGGTTCAAGGTCCTAATCTTAGCTTCCAGCCTCTGCCTCTTAGGCCCCACCCTTCTTCTCTTTAGCCCCGCCTCCTAGATACCTTGGCCACGCCTCTTGTTCTCCCATAAGTCCCATCTCCCTCCTCTCTTGTAGTCAGAAGCGCGTGGAGGGGTGTGTGGGGGGGAACGGGGGAGGGCTACGGGAAACGACAGGCTCTTAAGAACTGCTATTCCCGGCATACTCCGCGAAGGAGTTCTCGCGAGTCGCGAGAAGACACGTGCGCGGAAGGAGCAAGCAGTAGCGGGCGACAGAGCTGGAATAAAAAAAGCTAGTGGTAAAGGTTGCTGACGGAGGGGTGGCGAAAGGGGTAGAGGGCAGGGGACGGCCCCTACGCCGAGGGCTGCTCGGAGGTCCCGGCTGGCCCTTCGGAGGTCCGTTCCTGTTAGTCCCACAACTCCTGGCTACGCGAGCCTAGGGTTTATTAGACGGAGTCAGTTGTGGCGTTCAGAGGGTCAGCAATCAATCCTGCGAATCCAGAGTTTCAGACTTGTCGCCAGTATTGGGACCCTGGGCGGGGGGGGGGGTAGATTCCATGTTTGAGAAGCCGAGGGAATCTGTCTTTTGATTCAGGGTTCATCACTTAGAGGTTAGTTTTAGGATTCAAATTCAGCATATAGAGGGTTTTGCTTGGACTTGGGATTCATCAGATGCGGACCAGTGTTTATTGGGATTCATTCTTAGGATCGCAGTTAAGTATCTGGGGCGCACTCAGGATTTGAGATTCAGTATTCAGGGTTCACTGTTGGCATTCAGGGCTTAACATCTATAGCATAAGAATGTAACAATTGGGAATCAGTGGGTTTGGGGTTTCGGGTTTTTGAGGTTTGGGGTCTAAGAGATCTGTCGCTGAGTGTCTGAGTTTGCTGAATGTGTCTATAGCCAGAGGGAAGTCTGTTGGATCAAATTGTGGGGTGCGAATTTCAGAATTTAGGAGAAATCGCTGTGGGGTTTTAAGGCCACTTGGAATCTGGGTTGGGGTTTGAGATGTATGGGATTTGTGAGGTGTTGTGTCAAAGGAGGGACTATATTGAATTTTGGATTTACATCCTGTGAGAGGGCTAAGTGTTGCTCTTTGGATTGCTTGGGATGTGAGTGGGGTTCTTGGGCTGGGGTGTGAGATCTGAGCCTGATTTCTCTGTTGGGACTTGAGGTTTAGGTAGCAGTTGCCACCATGCTCAAAGCTGTGATCCTGATTGGAGGCCCTCAAAAGGGTGAGGAGCCTAGGGAAAGGGGTAGGGAGGTTGGGCTGGAATGACTGGGGGGTGGAGGCAGAGGGAGGCAGGAAGCTGAAATGTGCTTCTCTCTCCTCTCTCAGGGACCCGCTTCAGGCCTTTGTCTTTTGAGGTGCCCAAGCCCCTGTTTCCAGTGGCGGGGGTCCCTATGATCCAGCACCACATTGAGGCCTGTGCCCAGGTAACCCCAGAGTCTCCGCCTCTCACCTCACTTCCTGCTCATCTCCTTCATGCTGTATTTCCCCCTCTCTCCAACCATGTCCTGTTCACACCAGGCATAACTCCAGGGACTGCCATTTATAAATGACAGTGTGAATGGTGTACCTCAGAGTTGTGCAGGACAACTGCCCTGCTGTCTTCGCTAATCTGGTCTCTCATCTGGCCTCTTCTTGTTCAGATTTCACTCCTATTTTTAAAGCATGGAATGCGAGATCAGGCCGGAATCTTAGAGACCATTTAAAGCAACAGCCTGAGGAACCTGAATGCTAGCAAAGCAGGGAACTCAAACCCTTGCTCACTGTGGAGCTAATTTCTTTATTGCTTTAGGCATTGGGATAGGCAGGGTTTTATCTGGATCCAGTCTCTGCCTGGAGAGTAAATTTACTTGGGTAAATTCCTCGCCCTTTCTGAGCCTTAGTTTTCTTACTGGTCAAATGGGGTGATTAACCCTACTTTGTGGGGTGGCAGGGCTTAGAGATGATGTTGGTAAAGTGCCTAGTGCAATGTAGGCACTTGATAAGTGGTACCCTTATCTCATGCTGATCTCAAGCTTATATTGACAGATAATAAATATGGGGGAAAATGAATGGATTATCTTTTCATGCAGTTTGGTAGGCAGGATCTTTCCTAGGGTGATCCTCAGATGAGGGGATGGGGTCGGGGGAACAACAGAATCATAAAAGATTGAAAGATCAGGGACAGACTTCCTCTAGCTTCCTCTTTGTCTGGAGGAGCACATAGGCCAGGGTGGTAAAGTGAGTACCCACAGCTGAGACCAAAATTATGGTCTCTGGACTCCTGGGCCAGTACCAGGGGTTCCCCCAACATTCCTTCCTATCAGATACGTTCTTTTTCCTCCCAACCTCTCCCCTTGCTCTCAGGTCCCTGGGATGCAGGAGATTCTGCTCATTGGCTTCTACCAACCTGACGAGCCCCTTACCCGATTTCTAGAGGCTGCCCAGCAGGAGTTTAACCTCCCCATCAGGTGTTTGTGTACATGTGCCGTATGGGGGGGATGGGGTGTGGGGGCAGTGCCCGAGGCCTCAGAGTCCTGGTGAGTGGGTTGAGTCAGCATCTGGCAGACTTCACCCTTATATACCAGGAGGGGTCTTATTTGGGCATCTCTGAATCCCTGAGTATATTGGCCTCAGGCAGGTGTATTTCTGGGAGCAGGAGGGGTCAGATGCCCAGGCTCATGCTTTCTGCCTCCTCTCATCTCACTGAGCTGGCCCTGGGGTCCCCCGGTGACAGGTACCTGCAAGAATTTGTGCCCCTGGGCACAGGAGGTGGTCTCTACCATTTCCGGGACCAGATCCTGGCCGGGGGCCCTGAGGCCTTCTTTGTGCTCAACGCTGATGTCTGCTCCGACTTCCCCTTGAGTGCTATGTTGGATGCCTACAGACACCAGCCTCACCCTTTCTTGCTCCTTGGCACCACGGTGAGGGGGCCAGGAGGGCTGGAGGGGGTAAAGGGGGTGATCCAGAGACATTCCTGGAATGCAGAGTGTCGGGGAGGCAGGGGCAGCCGAGAGAGAGTTGGAGTGGGAACGGGCATCAACAAGGGAATGTGCCAGAAATCCCAGCAAGTAGCAGAGGAGGAGGAGGCGGCGGCAGCGGTAGAGACCCTGAGCCCTTTGGCTGCTCAGAAGGAAGGAGGGGGAGAGCAGCTGTCAGTTCTCCCCCTGCTGAAGGCCTGTCAGTGCCAGAAATACGTGCCAGGTGCTTTAGGGGAGGGAAAGAAAGAAAGAAAACAGACCTTGCTGCCCTAGAGCAGGCAGGTCATTGTTTCGGTGTGTCTGTCTTTCAGGCTAACAGGACACAGTCCCTCAACTACGGCTGCATTGTAGAGAACCCACAGACACACGAGGTAAGAGCAGAGATGGGGCTGGCTGGGTTCTTACTCTGTATCCTCATGCCCCCGCCCCTCTGCTTCTAGAGAATGCTAGAAGGCAATTGAGTGGGCTCCAGTGCTGTCAACCAGGTGGGGCGTACCCTTGGCTGTTCATCTTCCATCTTTTCTAGAGATTGGCAAAGAGCAAAGGCTAACAGTTAATTTCCATGGGTGCAGCGCCCCGATAGATGTATGCACTGTGTGCTATGGGAACACGAAAGGAGGCCTACCCCAGCCTTGCCTGGCTGGGGGCAGGGAGAGCTTCCTGGAGGAGGCAAAGTCTGAGTTGAGTTAAATTTGTGGAGATGAAGAAGGAGACAGGAAGGCATTGCAGGTAGAGGGAACAGGATGTGCAAGGGCACAGAGGCAGGAAACAGTATTATTGCGCCTCTAGAATTCCAGAGGTGGGAGCGGGATCTGTAAGGCAGAGGATCTCAGTCCTTGTTTGTGAAACTCCCTGCCCCTGAGCCTAACTGACTTTCACACAGCCCTTTTCTTTGTTCAAGCATTAGTATTAAAAAGACACTTAAACAGGCACACACACATAAATATGTGTGATTTTTTTTTTTTTTAAGTTTTATACTAGGCACTAGCTAGATGTGAAAGAAACAGAGCCAAAGAAATAGAATCCCTCCCTCCCAGGAAACCCCCAGTCAGTGGGAAAGACAGTCAAAAGTCAAGCATGGCAAATGACACAAGGGCCCACAGTGAGGTGTGGCCAGACGCCAGGGGTGCCCAGACCTGAGAGGCTCAGTGTAGGGCGGGACAGGCGCAGGCTCCCAGAGGAAGTGGCAAGGTCAACTGGGTTTTGAAAGCTGAGTTTTCCAGATGCATCACTGAGAAAGGGCATTCCAGGCACAGGCGTGCAATGGCAGTGAATGGTGTGCTGGGGGTGCTGGGAGGTGGGGAGGATTGGGAGGGAAAAGGTATGTAGTTGGGACTTACCTTGAAGGTGAAGGGCAGTGACTGTGCATTTTAGGAAGACCACCCTGGCAGCAGGGAGTAGCTGGCAGTCAGAAGGTCTTAGGGGATGGTGGGGGGGGGCTGGGGGGCAGGGGGCCCCCTCCTCTACTGGACCCAGCCTGCCCTGTCCTCAGGTCCTGCACTATGTGGAGAAACCCAGCACCTTCGTTAGTGACGTCATCAACTGTGGCATCTACCTCTTTTCCCCGGAAGCCCTGAAGCCCCTTCGGGATGTCTTCCAGCGAAACCAGCAGGATGGGCAACTGTGAGGCGGGCCCCATGGCCCTGTAACCCCAAGTTCCCCCCAGTCACAGAGCACCCCCGCCCCCAGGCTCTGCAGGCTCCGTTTCCACCTGCTCACCTTCCTCCTCCTTTTTCCTTTCCACTTGTCATCCCCAGCCAAGTCTTCCGGGTCCCCTCCCCTTCTAACCTCATTCTGTCCCTCTTCCTTAGCCATCCCAGTTCCTCCTCTGTCACTGCCTGCCCACTCCCCTTCTGGTCCATTTCTCTCAAGCCCTGATGAGTGTCCCGGAGATGTCTTTCAGAACAGACGGCAACACGCACACTTGGGCACACACACGCTTGGGTGCAGAGACATGCAAAGAGAGAGAGACACACACACACACACACACACACACACCCCACACTGTCAGGCTGAGGCTCCCCTCAGAGCATAGCCCACAGAGCCCTGCTGGCCACAGGCCCCTCCCCAGGTCATCCTTGTAGGCCCCGGACCTGTTCCCCACCCCCCTCCCTGCTGTGGGTCCTGGCCTTCACTCCTTCCGCCCCGCCTGGCTCCCCGTCTCATGCCCCACTTACTCCCATCCATCTCTGCTTCTCTCTCCATCTCTCCGGGCCTCTGTCTGTTTCTGCTGAGCTGGCATCTCTACCATCTCTCTCTCTCTCTCTCTCTCTCCCTCTCTTTCTGTGACTGTCTCTGCCCTCACCAGCTGTCTTCCTCTGGGGTGAGTGTCTGTGTTTCATTCCATCCCGTGAGAGGGAGGGTGACCCGAGGTGGGGTTTGGAGGAGTGGATGGGGAGGAGAAGAGGAAAATGGAGGGAAGCTATGTCCGGGCAAACTCCCTGGACCTGGGGCAGAGATGAGGTGTGGGTCCATGCCCGGGGGTCCCCTGGGATTGCACCCCAGCTAGGGGTGGGAGGGTGACGTGGGTAAGGGCACTGGCAGAGTTTCCTGGGACATGAACATCCCTTTGGAGAAGATCTGGCCAAGCCTGGAGAGGGGGTGGGATTCCCTCAGATCCCTATCCCTGAGACACCATGTTGGCCTTCCGGGCGGGCTCAGCTGGGGAGTTGATGTCCGCATCTCCTCTCTGCCAGGGAGGACTCTTCAGGCCTGTGGCCAGGGGCAGGTACCATCCGCCTGGAGCAGGACGTGTTCTCCGCCCTGGCTGGGCAGGGCCAGATCTACGTCCACCTCACTGATGGTATCTGGAGCCAGATCAAGTCTGCGGGGTATGGCTACGTGAGGTGGCTGGGGCACCTGGGAGTTGAGATTTTCAGAGGGTAGGCACCTGCTGGCCCCTGAATCCCCCATTCTGCTCTGTGGCTCCCGCCAGTTCAGCTCTCTATGCCTCCCGCCTCTACCTGGGCCAGTATCAGCTCACTCACCCAGAACGCCTGGCCAAGCACGCCCCCGGGGGTCCACGAATCCGAGGTACAGCCCCCTGCCCCCCTTCCTCATCTTTGCCCCCCACCCCAGCCCCCTGTGCCCCCTGAGCCAGGACTCCTGACCTCAGATTCAGAGGTGAAGCTCTAGTCCCTGCGCCCTCCCAACCCCGAACCAGGTATGGTGTGGGGTAGTTGCCCCCAGATCTTCTCTTCTGATTCTAGGAAATGTTTACATCCACCCCACAGCTAAGGTGGCCCCGTCGGCGGTGGTAAGTGGGGAGCTAGGCCGCCAGGATGGGTGGGATGGCGCCGAGCTCCTGAGCTCAGAGCTCAGGGCTCTGCTTTGTCATCACCCATCGTACAGGCTCAAGCAGGTCCCTTCCCCCCTACCTGTTCTATGAAGAGGGTGGATTCGGGTTTCTCCAAGGCCCTCCAGGGCTTATGGTATCTGTTCCTCTCCACAGCTAGGTCCCAATGTCTCCATTGGGGAGGGGGTGACCGTGGGCGAGGGGGTGCGGCTCCGCGAGAGCATTGTCCTCCATGGGGCCATGCTGCAGGTAGGCACCCCGTGGCTGGCTGGGCGGGGGGTGGGCCCCATGGTTTCTGCATCTGGCCCCTTCTCCTCTCTCACCTGACACTGTTGTGTTTGGCAGGAGCACACATGTGTTCTGCACACCATTGTGGGCTGGGGGAGCACTGTGGGGCGTTGGGCCCGTGTGGAGGGTACCCCCAATGACCCCAATCCCAATGACCCCCGAGCGCACATGGACAGTGAGAGCCTCTTCAAGGATGGGAAGCTGCTGCCTGCCATTACCATCCTAGGTACGGCTTCCCAGGGGACTAGGGCTGTGGAAAACCTCCACAGGTGACGGCCTTGCCCTGTGGGGATTGGACGCACGCGCGTGCGCGTGTGCATGCGTGCTTGCTTGCTTGCTTGTGTTTATTCCTTTAGCAAACATTTACAAAGTGCTTGCTGTGTGCCAGGCCCTGTTGTGAGTCACTGGGAGCGTGAGGCCAGGGCACAGATGGGCAGGGAGGGATTCCTCCCCGATGGCAGTGGCCCCAGCTCCTTGCCTCTGGCCTCCCCTCCCCACGGCTTCCTCCTGGTGCCCTCATGTCCCGTTGCAGGCTGCCGTGTCCGGATCCCTGCTGAGGTGCTCATCCTGAACTCGATTGTTCTGCCACACAAGGAGTTGAGCCGCAGCTTCACCAACCAGATCATCCTCTGAGGGGGACTGCCAGAAGGCACCCCCCCCCAGCTCCCACCTCCTACCCGCTCCCCTCGAGGCTCCTGCCTGCATGGCCAGCCTCTGTCCAAAAGGACCCGAGGAAGCCAGGCGGGATTTTCACGTGCCAGGAGCAACGTGGGTGGCCGGGGGACTCCTGGCCTCCCTCTTCACTCCTTAATAAACCCCAGTGAACCTTGGAGCCAGCACGGACTCCTGCTTGTGCCTGGGCTGGGGGTGAGGGTGGAAGGGGGGCAGCTCAGTCAGGCCCCCCCACATTAGCATTTAAATTGGAGTCGTTGCTGCGGGCTCATGAATAATGAATCTGGAGCCCTGGTAAATCTCCCCCATCCACTGCCTTTAGCCTCTTGTGCTGCTCTGCTTGGGAGGAAGGCCCCCAAGGCTCCCAGCCTGTCTGGCCCCTGCCTTCACCCCTACCCCAGCACTGCCGGCTTGCCCGCCTTCCTGTTTCTCTTCAATGGGCCTGGCTCGGGCTCTGAGTGTAAGGATTCTGAAAGGAAGGGTGCAGGATTCTGGTTGGGCTGTGGGGTGCTGGCGGTGGCTCAGGGACTGAGAGCCACAGGCCTGATACTGGATCACCCGGTGGTTGCTTTTCTCAGTTCCTGCCCAGCCCAGCCCCAGCCTGTTTTCCGCTTTGCCAGCTCCATCTGCTCCTAGCCTGGCTTTTGGCGGGGTTGGGGGGGCTCTCCCCGCCCGAGGCCTGGTTGGTGTCTCTTACTCCCCTGGCAGGCGGGGCAGACCTAAGCTGGTGCCTAGCCCTCCCCAAACACAGTGGGGGCCCCTTGTTCTGGGAGGGGAGGATCCCTGGCCACCTCCCACCACCCTGACTCGGCCCTTTGGGAGGTCTCTGTCCTCTCCACATTCCTGAAGCCCCAGAGAACCCCAACCATCTATCATGTTTGCCCATGACCCCCACGTGCCCCCTTTTGGTGCCCCCCTTTCCCCAGCTGTGGGTGCGGAGCTTAGTTGCCAGATGAGCTGGTAATGATCGTAATCTGCTAATTGAGAGGAATCTAATTACCCAAAGAGAATGGGGGGGCAGGGCGTGGGTGGGAGGGAGGAGGGGGTCCTGGCAGCAGGCGGGGGTGGCAGGCGGCAGGGTGCTGGGACCTTGTTATCAGCACCGGGGTCTGGGACAGAGCCCAGGATTTCATAGCTTCATAGCTGGGCAGTTAGGAAGATGTGCTTCCTCAGGAGCTGGGCTGAGGGTAATGGGGGTTTGGGCTGGATGTGCCCTCCCAGCCCCTTCAGGCCCTGCAGGCTGTGTGAGAGCATGCGTGAGAGGAGCTGGGTTTTAGCAGTCCTGACCTACAACCTGCCTTGACTCAGCCTCTTTCCCATTCCCTGTCCCAGCCTCCAGCCCAGACCTCCCATAATCTGCATGGGGTTGGCAGGGGGCAGCCGATGCCTTCTCTGGGCCTGGGGTCAACTCCCTGAAGAAGGAGCCGGGAGAGGGATGGGCTGTGGAGCCAGGGACTGGGTCCCTTCCCTGCCCTCCCCCCAGTCCTGACCCTTCTGTTCCAAGTGGTTGGCAGAGGCCATGGCAGCTCCATCATAAATATGATAATTTAATTATTTTCTCAGCAAAACACCGTGAAATCCAATAAGTCTGTGTCAGGCCCTGGCCCCCGGGAGCCCCCTCCTAGGCCCAGTGGGGGTGGGGAGAGGCACTGGAAGGCAAAAGGGTCAGTGTTTGAAGTGGGGGGGTGGCTAGTGTAGCTGAGATCTTTGTAACATGCCCCCTCCCACCAGGCTGGTGGAGTCCCTGTTGTGGTGGTGGGGGGTGGTTCTGAGGAGTCATAATGCCCTCCACTCCTTGTCTCCAGCCCTTGTCTGCCCTGGGAAGGACCTAGTGCCCCATCCATCTCTGAGGGCACAGTTTGGGGCCCAGGATGTGGGAGCCCACTTCTCCGCCACGTCTAGGTCCTCACTGGCCCTGAAGGGGTAGGAGGATGCTGGCCCCCAAAGGGTTTGAGGAGGGAGAACCAAGGGAACAGGGGTGGGAAGTGGGGGATGAGCGGGGGAAGGGATGCGGGGGAGGGGTGCGCTCCTGCCATTAGTGCTTTTTTAGGTTTCCATAAAAAGATTATTCTGTAAAATCAGCGATGGGGAGCAAGCTGGGGGCTGGGGAGGGGGGCAGGTCCCTGGCACCGAGCTGGATGGGGTGATGGGAGGAGGGCTGGGGACGGGGACTGAGCTTGGAGAGAAATTTGGATGGGCTTCAGGAGCCAGCGAGGGGGAGAGGCCGAGCCAAGAACACAGATTGGGGGGAGGTTGGCCGGGGTGGGGTGGAGTGGGGGCAGGGCCCTCACCGCCTCCTGTCCCTTTGGCCGGGCTGACCTGGGCCCCAGCCCCACCCCCATCTCCATGCCCTCCCCCTGGCGCTCAGCGGCCATTACCGGGGGAGCAGATTGCGGCCCCCTCCCCCTCTCTGGGAAGCGGGCACAGCTGGGGCCCCGCCACATCTGCCGCATCAGCACGGAGCACAGCTGGGTGTGCCCAGAGACGCGCTCCCCAAAACACAGAGGGGAGGGCGGGGGCCAAGGAGAGCCTAGACCCCTGAGACAGACACACTGACACCTCTGCCAACAGACACATACTCCTCGAGGCGAAGCTACACCCACCACCACCACACTCGCTCCCTCCTGTGCAGACAGGAGAACTGACAAACACGCAATTACTCTGCCCCGCCTGCCACCCCCGCGCCCCTCCCCCCGCCCCTTCTTCCTCCTCCCCTTCCTTCCCTGCGGGCTCCCCTCCGCTGCCTTTACCACTTCGGCTCTTCAGGAGGGAGCAGGGGCCTCCCCCTTCCCGAGCACACCTTTCTGGGAGGCTTGGAGAACAGGAGGGCAGGAGGTGGTAAGGGGCTGCGGGTCTGAGCCGTGAGCCTGGCCAAGCCACTGCCCTCCCTCCATGCCCATACTGCTCCCCACAAAGAAATTCCCTGTGAAACATTGGTTCCTGCCACACTGGGTGTGATGGGGTCTCCATCCCAGCGCTGGCTGGCGGAGCACCCTTGACTGTGGCTCCCTGTGACGGTGTTCCATCTGCCACCTCAAGGAGGCGCTGCGTGCCCTCAGTTCTCTAGCCGGGAGCTCCCCGGCTCCCCGGGCCGGCCCTGCCATTCCCACTCACCCCATCTGCTGTGCACCCCTCTGCTTAGCTCTGCTACCCTTGGCACGTGCAGGGCATGCGGGCTCGCCAGTAGGGGGAAGTCCCCACCCCCATGAGATGATCAGGAGCCCCTTCTTTCCTCTCTGCCAGGCGATGGCCACCTTCTGGCCCCCCGATTTAATCTTGTCCCCTTCACAGCCCTCGTTTCTCCCGCTCGTCTTGGCCCCGATGTCCTGCCCTCGGCCCTCTCCTTCCTGCCCCCCGCCCCCGTCCGCGCCGCGCCCCCACCCCTGCCCCTCAGAGCTTTAATCCCTCCCGCGGCTCAGCCGCCTTATCTGCTCCCAGCAGCTTTCACTGCTGCAAAGCCCTCTCCCCCTCCTCTGGATCTTCTCCCCCTCCTTTCCTGGCTCCCTCTTCTCTCTGACCAGCACCCCCACTCTCAGCATGTCTCTGCCTCTCAGGCCCCTAGGATGGCTCCTGGCCGACACCAAATTTGCACCCCAGTGCCCTTTGCCCTCTCTCCAGCCTCCGTTCTGAGGTTGCCAGGTGCCCACCCACTCCCACACTGGTCCCTTCCTCCCCCAACCGCCCCCTGAAGGCCCCACAGATGTGGGCAGTTTCTGCCTCGCCAAGATTTTTTCCTCTTTCGTCTTCCTTTCCTGGTCCCCTCCTCAGTTCCTCCAGTCACCTGCCCCTCGATCTTGGACCTGGTGCCCCTCAGCCCGTGATCCAGGGCCTCAGCTTGGGCATCCCCAGAAGAGGATGGGGTCAGGCCGGGCTGGCCTGAGGATGGGGTAGGGGGTGCAGAGTGCTGGCCGGCAGTGGGGGCAGGGCCTGGCGGTGGGACGCTAACCCTCTTCAGTCGCCTCAGATCACGTCCGGACCTCCCCACCCCCCCTTCGCTGGAACTCTCATTAACCGCTTCTCCTGCCTCGTCCGCGGCATAAATAACCCAGATAAATCAGCCGCCGTCCGCCCCCCGCCCCTCGGCCCCCGCACAGCCCGTTTGTCACCGCTGCTTGCTCACCAGCCAGGCCTGGCCCAGTCCCGGCCTCCGCTCCCCCATCCTTGTCCCTTCCCGCCCACATCTGTCCCACACTAGCTCATCCCTTGGTCCGCACCAGAGCCAGGGCTGGGACAGGTGTCTGGGCTGGGAAGGGTGGCCAGGAGGTGTCGTCCTCTGGGAGCAGGGGGAGGCTGGGGACTCTCTCTAGAAGAATGCTAAGAGTTTGGGGGTCATGTCATTTATGAGTGGGCCACCCAGGAAGGGAGGTGAGAAGGCGCAAATGCAGACGGTGCACCGGGGGTGGAGGTGGGCGTGCTCTGCTGGGAAAAGAGGCAAAGTCCCAAAAGCCTGGGTGCAGTAAGGACCTTGGAGGCTCCCTTTGGAACCCCCAAGCTGGAACATGGGAGGTCTCTGGGTCTGCCTTTGAGGCATTTTGCCCAAGTAAAACCTGCACTTCCTCAGGTGCTCTGGCAGAACCCTCCTGCCCTCCCTGTCTCCTCCCTCACCCTTCTGTCCCCCATTCCTATGCTCTCTGCCTTGTCTGGCTGTACAGATGCCACTCATCTCTCTTCCTGCCGGTCCATCCACCACCATCAGGAAGACTCGTTCACCTCTGGGGCATGGGGCTGGGTCGAGAATTGGACCAGGAACAAACCCGGGGAATGGGGACAACTGGAGAGCCACGGAAGCCTGGCCCTGCAGGTCCCTCACCCCTGTGCCTCTCCTGTGCCCCACACCCACTCCCAGCCCGAATCCCTGACATACCCTCCCCCCTCTGCTCACACCCAGCTCAGGTCCCGGCCAACCACGCTTGGCCCTGATGCTCACTGCAGGGGGGCAGCTGGTCCCAGGGGAGTAGGTGGGGGAAGCCAGGAGGGGATGGGGGGAGTTTGGGCGCAGGGCTGGGGGTGGGGGTGGGGAAGAAGCTGGGCCGAGCCCCAGGGACCAGCTGGGCAATGAGCCGGGGAAGCAGCCGGGAGGCTAAATGAGGGAGATTATCACCCAACTGCAGCCGGGCAGAGAGGGAGGCAAGCAGGGAAGCGGGGAGAGGGAGGGGGGAAAAGGACAGGGGGCCAGAGGGGAAGGGGGTGTAGGGGGTGCAGAGGAGACAGAAGAGACTGGAGGGTGAGGTGCAGGATGGGCGGAGGGGATGTGAGAGGGGGCTCCCACCAAGCATAACTGGATTCCTAGGGGTCTGGGAGACTGGGTGATGGGGACCTGGGGACAATTGGAGACAGCTGGCTGTGGGGCAGTGGGGGGTGGGGTGAGTGCAGTGAACTCCTGTTCCAGTTCCGAGTGGCCTGGAACTCCCCTCTCCACCCACCCCCCAACTTCATTCCTTCAGAGGCTTCGTACCATGCCCTCTGGAGGAAAGAAGGTGTGATTTGGGCTGATGATGGAGGCCAGTATATTAGAGGAGTAGGACCCCGTGATCCCAGTGGATCTCAGGGCAATTTAGGGACATGCGTTGAGTCCAGGGTAGCACCGAGTGCTGGGGAGAGCTCGGGGGGCAGCTCCCCGCTTTCTTGGCAGAGCCCCAGACTGAAGTAACCTTAAAAAAGCAATTAAATCACCTTTTAAAAAATACCCAGTAAAGAAAAATCAATACTAGGAGAAAGGGGGGTAGGCTGGGTGAGGAGGAGGTGGGGCGGAAGCACTAAAGGGTCTGGGAGTCTAGCAGGGAGGGCAGAGCATGGCAGGGGGCTGCCCGGGTAGGGGGCACTGTCTGTGGTCACTTGGAGGCTCTGAGGGCTAACTCAGCGGCTGCTTCCCGTGCCTTCCCCGCTTTTTCCCTCTGGGACGCTGCCGGCCCTAGCCCTGACCCCAGGGGCCTCCTCTTCCCAGCTGGGGGGAGACTGCTTGTGGGGGAAGCCCAGCCGTAGGGGCACCCCCCCAGAAGCTACTTTGAGGAGAGGCTGGGGACCACCCCAGCAGGGTGCCACACGTGGCCGGGGCTCGGGGCTGCTGGGCTCCATGCTGGGGTGACCGGTGACTGATGAGGCCTGACCTGGCCTCGCAGCCAAGGTGGGCAGTGACATATTCCCTGCTCCCCAGGGTAGCCGTCCCTAGGCCCCTCCTCTCGGTCCAGGCGGGGGCTGTGACTGGCGGGGCAGTCCTGATGCAGGGGAGGGGTGGCCTCTGGGCAGCGGGTGGACCTGGGGCTCTAATCCCCAGCAGCTGCCGTTTCCCTCAGATCGATTCCCTTCTCACTTTTTTTTCAGCTGCTGGTTCCGCGGCTCGGATCGATGGAGCCGCCTCCCCCGCCCCTCTGAGCTTCCTCTCCCTGCTGCTCATTAGCGCCCCGATTAAGCAGCCCCCCCTTTCATCTGGGGGACAAGTGCTTCCTCCCCCGGGAGGGCTCACGTTCTCACACGGGCCCCCCCCTACCCCGCCCCCCCCTCCCCTCCCCCTCCCCGGCCCAGAACACAAGCTGCTCACTGTGACCACTCCACCCTGGGAGCACCAAGGCATTTCCTCCTGGGCTGCCAACTGGGGACCCACCCTGCCTGTGAGAACAACCCACGTGCCTGCTTCCCCTCCGTAAGCCAGCAGCCAGGCCAGGGCTCCCCTGCCCTACAGTCTGGCCACTCTCTTCTTCTGCTTCTGCTTCTGCTTCTGGGATAGTACTCCCTCCCATTCAAGCCGCACATTTCTCCTCCCTCCCAAATCCCCATTTGGGCTCTTCCTCTCCCTCCATTCCATACCCTCTCCCCCACCCATCCTACCTGGTCTCTGCTCCCTGGCTTGTTCACCCCACACACTCCCCCCACCCCCAGCCTGGCTTGGCAAGGGATTTGAGAAACGTTTGGATTAGCCAAGTGGCCATAGATGTGCAAGCCAGCCAGGGCGTCCTGTCTCAGACCCACGAGTGACTGAGTTTGGGGGGACGGGAGGGGGCGGCCAGCATCCCAGGGCAGGCGGGGGTAATGGTGGGTGTTGAAGTTGGGAGCAAAGCTCCAGGGAAGCCAAGCATCTTGGTGGAGTCACCGTTGTCCCCTTGTCTGTCTTGCCTGCCCTCCTCTGCCCTCCCCTCCCTCATTCAAACAAGTGGCTCTCCCAAGGAGTTTCTGGAAGCCGCTGTGAGTGAGGTAGTGGGGGCAGGTGGTGGCTGGGTGCTGGAGTCAGGAGTCAGGGAGGTGGGGGGTGGAGTTGGCTGACCCTTCCCGGGCGTGGTCCCGAAAAGTGGCGGAACGAGCCGAGGCCTCTGGGTGCAGATGTCTTCTCTGAGTGGCCTGGGAGTGTGGCCCTCTGGGGACCCCACGAGTGCCTAGGCTGTAGCAAGAGTTTGGGGGGGCAGCCCGACGAGGTCTGGGGCAGGGGCCCGGGAATCCCTGTCCTGGGCCCCGGGGGGTGGGGTGGGGGTGTGGGGGGCTGCCCCCCGCCCCTGGCCTGGCTCCTGCTGCCAGAGGCGCCGGTGAAGCGCTGTTGACATGTCCTGAATTATTAAGCACGGGGTGGGCTCCGGAGCACATGCTGAGCGGCGCGGCTGGGGCTGCGCGGCGTGGCGGAGCGGCGCTCACTCCCTCGCTTGCTCGCTCGCAGGGACACACGCAGGGGCTGACAGCTGTGCTGGTGCTGATAAGGAAGCCACAAGGAGCCGATCGAGGAGAGAGACAAGCAGCAGCTGAGGCAGCGGCGGCAGGGCTGAGGAGCTGCTGGGAGTGGGAGTGACTCCCCCACCTCGGGCCCCCACCCCGTCCCTGTCCTCCTCCTGCTTGCCCTGAGTTTCGAAGAGCGGCCACTGCCACCGCCGCCACTCCGGAGGGCACTGGGGGGGGGCCACTGGCCAGGGAGGGACAGGGGCAGGGAGGCTCCGGCCACAGTCCCAGCAGCCGGGGACAGATGCCGATCGAGATTGTGTGCAAAATCAAATTTGCAGAGGAGGATGCGAAACCCAAGGAGAAGGAGGCAGGGGATGAGCAAAGCCTCCTGGGGCCTGCACAGGGGACAGCAGCCCCCCGGGACCTGGCCACCTTTGCCAGCACCAGCACTCTGCACGGCCTGGGCCGGGCCTGTGGCCCGGGCCCCCACGGACTGCGCAGAACCCTGTGGGCACTGGCCCTACTCACCTCGCTGGCCGCCTTTCTGTACCAGGCTGCCGGCCTGGCCCGGGGCTACCTGACCCGGCCTCACCTGGTGGCAATGGACCCTGCCGCCCCAGCCCCAGTGGCGGGCTTCCCGGCGGTCACCCTCTGCAACATCAACCGCTTCCGGCACTCGGCCCTCAGCGACGCCGACATCTTCCACCTGGCCAACCTGACAGGGCTGCCCCCCAAAGACCGGGACGGGCACCGCGCCGCTGGCCTGCGCTACCCGGAGCCTGACATGGTAGACATCCTCAACCGCACTGGCCACCAGCTTGCCGACATGCTCAAGAGCTGCAACTTCAGTGGGCATCACTGTTCCGCCAGCAACTTCTCCGTGGTGAGTCCTGCCAGCTGGCGTGCCCGGCCTGGGGTGGCCAGAGGCTGGCGGCGGGGGGCGGGGGGGGCGGCGAGGAGGGGGGCTGCATAGGGGCATCCTCCGTAGGGCTTCCCTTCCTTCCGCCAGCAGAGGCTGGCCTCGTGTCTCCCCCGAGCCTGGGTGTTGCCTTCGGGCTTCCTGGCCACGGAGCAGAGGATGCTCCTCGGGGCTTACCCTGCTGCTGTGGCTGCTCCTCTTCTTGGCTCTGCTGCTGGTGCAGTGCCCAGGTCTGGGGCCAGGGGGCCTGGAGTGGGCCCGGGGTGTCCCGGAAGCCGGGCAGCCTGCGGGGAAGGGATGCACGGGGCCAGGGCAGGAGCAACTGACCCCCACTTATCTGTTGTTCCCTTTTCCTTTTGTGGCTACTGGATTCTTCTCCCCACTGGATGAGGGTGAAGGGAAGAGGGTGTCTGGGGGGCTCCAGCAAAGAGAGGGACTCAGGGCTGCCTCCTGGGGAGCTGGCCCGACCGGCAGGCTGGAAGAAACGGTCTTGATCTTCGGGTACACTGGGTGCCAGTGTCTCTTCTCTGTCTCCGTGTCTCTCATACACACCCCCTTTCACAGACTCTCTCACACATCCCTCTTTCATGCGGCCCCTCCAGCTTCTCCCGCTCGCCCTCCCTCCGTTTCCTGGGTCTTGCTGTTCCCTTGCCCGGCTCTGGCTCTTACACTGAGAATCACTCATTCACTCTTGTGTGCACGGCTCACCCTCGCTGCGACCCAGCACACGCACGCACACACACACACACACACACACACACACACACACCCCTGCTGCTGGGGACAGTTTCCTGCACTGCCTCTCGCATACTCAGTGTGCCTGTCACTACACTCACGAGCATACCTGCACACCCACACACCCAGAGCGCCTCATCCCCATGCCCACATCCCAGATCTCACTTAGCTGCTGAGGACAGGGCCACACTGTGGACGCCATCCCCTCTCCTGATGCTCCCCCCGCCCCGTCTACCTCAATCCCTGCTCCCCACGTGGGGCCTGCTGGTGCCATGTCTCACACGTGTGTGAGCACAGACACACACACTCTCATTGGGATCAGCGTGTCGGCTCGGGCTGCCCTCCCATAGTCAGGTGTGAGCATGGGGGGCGTGTCTCGTGTGCGGGCTGTCTGTCTGTTGGTGCTCCATTCACCCACAGTCACGGGGTATCTATTACCCCCGGTGCTTGGGATGCCTGTCCCCAGCCCACAGTTGACTCCCAGCGTTGTGTACATGTGTGTGTTTGCAGCCTTGTCACCACTGCCCAGTGCGTGTGCAAATACGTGGCATCAACATGGTGCCCACTCCAGCCAGCCTCCAGTGGCCTGCCCCAGAGATGGGAGCAGGAGTGGGGGGCTTGCCTTCCTCCAGCCCAGCTGCCCCCGGCGCAGGTTCCCATTCACTCACTGCCTCAGCATCGGCAGGAAACATGCCCCTAGTAGGCCTACTATGGCTCCTCTCACCACCACCCATGCCTGCAGCCGCTGGGTCCTCCTCCCACGGGATGCGGGCGCAGTTGGGTAGGAATGGAGGAAGGGACAGGAAGGAGGGATAGTGCTGGTTTGGGGGGCGCTGGGCTTTTGTGTGGCTTACACACCCTCTTCTAGGAAAAAATCATTGCTCCCAAACCCAGGACTGCAGGAGTCCCCAAGGAGGAGGTGAGGTGTTGAGAGTGTGCATGTGGCCTTTGGGGTCCCTGGGGCCCCTCTGTCTGACATCCTCACCCCTCAAAGTTGGGGGGGCAGACAGAGCCCATTCTCAGCAGGTGCTGTGGGGGCAGAAATCAATGGGAGCTTTGTGTCCCTGAGCGGGAGTTTGCATCTCAGGCCCCAGTTGGGGGTAAAAAGGAAAGGGGAAGTGTGTTGAAACCTCAGTGGGAAGGAGGGGAGGAGGGAGGAGGGAGAGATGGGTAAGGTGAGGGAAGCAGGGGTTTCCTGCCTGGCTCTAGGAAAGGAAGAGGTGCTTGGAGGTTATGGGAACAGGGAGTCTCTCAGAATCCTGAGGATGGCTAAAGAGGAGGATGGACATCCCGCAGGCCTTTTCATACTCTGGGGCTGCAGAGAGGAGGCTGAGGAGGGTAGGTGAAGTTTGTGGGTTTCAGCTTTGGGGTTGCTGCATGCCCGAGAAGAGCGGAGGGGCAAAGCAAGCACTGAGGGACAGGAATTCCCCTTTGGATCCTGCTTTCTGTGTCCCCCACCCAGTCTAGACGCCATACCCTTCTGCCCACACCCCATCCCCCATTTGCTGAGTGTAACTCTCCCTTGGACCTGGCCTTCTAGGGTTGGGTCTGCTGCAAATACAATGGGGTCTGGGATTATTGGCTGGGATGGCAATCCATGAACTGTGGCAGTGGACAAGATGGGGGTGTCTTGTGGGGCAAGATTGAAGAGGTAGGAGATGAAGACATGAGGTCTCTACTGAGCACAGGAGGTCCACAACGGCCCTCTGGTAAGAACATGGAGCTCATGCTGAGGATCAGTGGTAGGGAGACGGGTACAGACACCAGGTGGCGAGGAACCTGCCCAGGCACGGGTGGTAAGATGGTCAGTAACAGTGACAGGCTTTGGGTAAGGGGCTGCGATGTGTTTTCTGTTGCTTTCCCTGTTTCCTCCTTCCCACTCCCCACTCTGCTGTGACCTTTCCTCCAGAATCCAAGTTAATAAATGTCACATTTTCCAGCCTATTTTTACTCCGGGTAATGCGCCCTCCCCCAGTCCCCTAAGCTGCTTCTCCTGCTTCTTTTACCACTGCAGTTGCTTCCCCCCCACGCTCCCTGATACCCCCTCACTGACTCCCAGTCACTCACCCAGTCAACATGGAGCTCGGCGTGCTGGCTCTGTGCCTGCTAGGTGGCGTGGGGGAGAACAAAGGAGGGAAGCCCCAGTCCCCAGTCCCTGTCCTCAAGCAGCCTACACTCTCGCGGTGGAGCAGAGACAGGGACGCTCAGAAGCTTAACCAACCATGCAAGAGTTAACCAGCCATGCAAGCGGTGTCATGAGGTGCCAGGATTAATTGCCAAAAGAGGTACATGAAGAGTAAGAGCCTGAGTTCAGAGAGAGAGAGAGAGAGAGAGGCCACTCTGGGCTGAAGAGGGCTGGAAAGGTTCAAGGCATGAGGCAGGTCTGGGGAGTCTGGAGAGAAAGGGAGAGATGGGGGAGATGCTCTTGGCCGCACCCATGCTCCCCTCCACCCAGCTCCCCTGGGGCCCTTCTCCTCCTCCTCTCCTCTCCTCCTCCCCTCCCCCTCCTTACTCAGTCTCATCCCCAACCCCCCACTCCCACCTCACCTGCTCTCACCACCTATCCGTTCTCTCCCTTCCTCCCAATTGCCACCACCATCTGCTCCCCCCCACCCTGGCGCTCCAAGCCCCATCCATACTTTCCCCATTGCGGCTCGCTCTCAGCTTGCCCACTTACTAGAAGGCAGAAATCACTCTTTCTCCCTAGGCTTCATTTCTTTAGCTGTAAAATGCAAGGGTGGCTCTAAAATTCAGCATCTCCTCTCAGCCCGGGAGTGTATGGTGGGGTGGTCAAGTGTGTGGTTTCCGGAGCCAGACCAGCTGGATTTGAACCTCAGTTCTCCCCTTCAAGCTGTGTGGCCTTGGAGAAGTCAAAAAGCTTCCACGAGCCGCGGTTTCTATACTCAGTAAATACAGTAGTAGAACCTAAAAAATTCGGGCAGTTGTAAGGATGCAAAAGATGGCTGCAAAGAACTCAGCGCGCTGCCTGGTGGGATGGAAGGCAGGGGACTGCCGAGGATCTGGCATGGGGGAGCCAGGGAGTGCTAGAGGGCCTCCCCGCTTGCGTGTGTCTCTGGAAGCGTCTGCTCTCTCACCTGACTGCTGCTGTTTCTGACCCCTGTGTCGGCAGCTTTGCTGCCGGCCATCACCCGGCCTTTCCCCTGTCTCGACCCTCAGGCCCAGACCCTCCCCTACACTACTACAGCATTGCCCTGCGACCCGCCCCTCCCAAATATCCATGCCCGCATGCATGTGTGCACACACACTCTCCAGATCAGCGCTCTCCCACCAGACATCTCTGGGATGGGGGGAAGGTTCTGGATCTGCGCAGTCCAGTAGGGTAGTCACCGGCCACACTGGCTATCGAGCATCTGATGGGGGATTGGTGTGACAGGGAAAATGAATGGCCAGTTCAAACAGTCACATGTGGCTAGTGGCAACCATATTGGACAGTGTAGTTCTTGGTGGTCCAAGGAACGAGGGTCAGACTGCCAGAATGGGCAGGGCTAGGAATTCCAACTGGGGTCCAAGGATGTGAGGTGGTGGCTGTGGGCTCTGGTTGGAAGTGCCGCCATCTCCAATCTGGGCTGAGGTTAGGGTCTGTGTCTGGAAACACCACATGAGCAAATAGACCTTTTTCCCCAGGTGCAGGACATGACCTCGGTCTTTTCTCTTCCATTCTATTGTCTGGAAAATTGAGGGATGGGGAAGGTGGAGAGTCCTTGAGGAGGCAGGGGTAGGACCTGGCCCCTCTCTGTGGGGTTGTCAGGGGTCCAGGCAGTCCCTGGGCGGGCAGGGGACCAGGGACCCGTGGGCACTTCATGGCCCCATCCCCTCTTGGCTCTCAGACTTCCCTACCCCTCCCAGCCTTCCTTCCCCACTCGCTGGTGACTGCCGTGACTATTAATCACTCGCCCTGTTCTCTTCCTCTCTACTAATCAGGCACAATTAGACAAGGCCTCTTCCAGCTGGGCAGTCCCCCTCCCTGCCCTCCTCCCTCCTCTCCCAGCCCCACCCCAGCTGCCAGCCAGGACAACTCTGAGGCAGGGGGAGCAGCAAGCGGGGAGGCCCTCTAGCACTCCCTGGCTCCCCCATGCCAGATCCTCGGCAGTCCCCTGCCTTCCATCCCAGCTGCCTCCTGAGCCTGTCCCCCTCCCTGGTGTGGTCAGGCCAGTACTGATCATCTCTGCCCCGCCTCCTTGGTTGTGGGGGGGCTACCCCGAGAACAT